CCCGCAGCCCTGCCCTTCCCCGCAGGGCGGCCCGTGCTCCTGCCCGCGTGTGGGGCCAGCTCCCCGGGTTGTGGGGGACCACAGGGGTCCTCTTCCTTCTTCTGAAACCGATGCCAAGGCTTTTTGTTTTTTAATGTTTTTATTGATCTGAGAGAGGAAGAGAGAGAGGAACATCCATGATGAGAGAGAGTCATGGACCGGCCTCCTCCTGCACGCCCCGCCCCGGGGATGGAGCCTAAACCCCCGCCTGTGCCCTGACCCGGGTGGAACCGGGCCTCCGGGTTCCTAGGTGGACGCTCAGCCCGGAGCCCCGCGGCCGGGCAGGGGGTGGTGGTGAAAGCCGAGAGCGGCCTTCTCAGACGTGTGTGGGCATCGCCCCTGGTCCTCTGGGTGGTGCTGAGACTCCCCCAGGAGCCCCTGGCCGTTTAGTCAGAGGCAGGGAAGCCCGGACCGGGCGGGCTGTGCCCCCTTGCAGGTCCGCCCTGGGTGTGGGTTGTATCTGTGGCCGGTGGAGGCGGGGCCAGGGTTCCCCTGGGGTAGCCGGTAGCCCTGCAGTGGAGTGACCCTTAGGCCCAGCGCTGTCCCCACTGTCCCCACGTCCCTGAGCCGGCCTTGGGCTCCTCACGCGGGCGGGTCACGGGGAGGCGCTGCCCCAGCAGAGCGGGCTCCCAGGGGTGCAGGCAGCTGGAAGCCAAAGCCCCCGTTTGCTGCCCACAATGAGGGAGCTACACAGACAGCCAGGCAGCAAGAAGGAAGACAGTATTCATGCTCCCCACAACGGGGGTCACGGAGCATAGAAAACAACCGTAAAAATGGAGGGAACGGGGCAAAGCCTCTTCAGGCGGTGAAAGCGGATAGGATACGAGGGCAGCCGAGCTGTTGTAGGAAAAGCTGGGTGATTCTTTGATGAGAGCAGAGCGTAGATGGAAGCTGCTGTGGCATTTTGTCTGTCGGTGAATCTTTTTTTAAAACAAGGGCTTGTGGCACTTTTCACCCGGAAAGTGTTTCAGACAGGGCAGTGCCGTGGTTGCTGCGGGGAACATTCCGGCATATTCTTTCTGGCACCCGCCCCCCCCCCCAGGGGGTTGGAGCGTCACCTGTCTGGCGGCAGGCAGTGCTGTCTTCTGCCCCCGCAGTTGCCAGGCAGTCACTCACCTTCCGAAGGCTTTGATCAGCGTGAAATCAAGTCCTGGAAATGATGCCTTTTACATTTTCTTAAAATCCTGCGAAGTGTTATCACCGTATTACACATTTCTTTCATCTTTACTACAAGTAAATGACAGCCCTGCCCCCGCACTCCAAGGAGGCGGGGAAGGTAAATGACAAGCTAGATTTCCTGTGGTGCTTTTTAAAAATACATGTTTTTATTGATTTCAGAGCAGAGGGGAGAGGGAGAGAGAGAAACACCAATGGTGAGAGAGAATTATTGATTGGCTGCCTCCTGCATGCCCCCCTCTCTGGGGATCAAGCCTGCAGCCCAGGCAGGTGCCCTGACTGGGAATCGAACCAGGGACCCTTCAGTCCACAGGCCAACGCTCTATCCACTGAGCCACACCAGCCAGGGCTGGTGCTTTTAAATCAGTTCAGTGTGTGTGTGTAGATCCTGAATCAAAGCTTGGTCTTTTTGAGGAACCCAGTCATTCATGATTCACGGTGGGCCTTTTTCCTTCCCTGCTTTGGGATCTGAGGATAAGTGTCAGTGTTTCAGATATGCTATGGGTGACGGCCAAGAATTGAAGCGGTGTGTTTCCGAGTGAAGCAGTAAGCTGAGAATCGGTGGACTTCGCCCCATGCTTCACCTGGGCACATTGGTGGGCACTGCCGGGGGAGGGGGCGCCGAGAGACTGCACACGCCCCTGGGGATAGAGCCAGTTCTAGCCGGTCGTGACCATCTTGTTTCATTTACAACAGATAATCCGCGTCCAGTCCCCGGACGGGGTGAAGCGGATCACAGCGACGAAGAGGGAGACGGCGGCCGCGTTTCTGAAGAAGGTACCTGTGCTTTGCTGTCGACCTCAGGCTCTTGGTCCTGCACTGGCTCCGCCTTCTCTCCCCTCCTCACTTCCTGGTCCCTCCCGCTCCCGGGTCAGGCTCTGCTCTGCCTGTGTGACTGGGGTGATATAGGATCAGATCGGGGCACAGCGGGCACTGCGCACAGTTGTAGGACCAAGGTCCCAAGGGATTTAGAGAGAGAGACAGAGAGAGAGAGGGAGGGAGGGAGAGACATTGATGTGAGAGAGACACATCAGTCGGTTACCCCCAGAAACATGTCCCAACCAGGGCCTGGATTGAACCTGCAGCCCAGGTATTTGCCCTTGACCAGAAATCGAACCTGAGACCATTTGGTACACAGGCCAGTGCTCCAACCACTGAGCACACTGGCCAGGCACAGGGCTGTATTCATTTTTAACAGTGAATAATTGGGCTGCACATAGGTGTCCTACAGGGGGCCATTGAAGTGGCCTTCTGCCCTCACAAACTTGCCTGTAGAGTATGTTTCGTCCACTGTGGCACTGCTGGCTCCATCTTGCTGTCCCCACAATTGGTGGCCTTGGTCCTTGTTGAAGGTGGCTCATGCCTGTAAGGGAATGGAGCAGCGGTTCTCAACCTGTGGGTCGCGACCCCTTTGGCGGTCGAACGACCCTTTCACAGGGGTCGCCTAAGACCATCCTGCATATCAGGTATTTACATGACGATTCATCACAGTAGCAACATGACAGCTACGAAGTAGCAACGAAAATAATGTTATGGTTGGGTCACCACAGCGTGAGGAGCTGTATTTAAAGGGCCAGAAGGTTGAGAACCGCTGGAATGGAGGTTGGCAGGTGCGCTGACATCATGTGCGTTGCAAGTGCCTCACAGAATCTCAGGCTTGGTTCCTGCTCCTCCCTCAGCTCCCTCTCAGGCCCCTCTCTGCGTCTCAGCCGAACCCCAGGCAGTTCCTCAAGCCACACTCGCCAGGCCCGCGTCCTGTCTGCCTTTGGCGGCCCCTGTTGAGTCACCCCAGGTCCGACCTGTTCTTTCTCGGGGCGGTTCCTAGTCTGGTCATAATTGGCTGTCCAGCGGCATGTGACACAGCCTCTTAACACTTGGACACTTTTTTTAAAACCGTGAAGTAAGATACGTACTGAGAGAGGCTTGGAAAACGATGAAGCAGAGGCCCAGTCACAGTGGGGTGGTGCCAGCGTTCCGGCAGCCACAGGGCGCCCTCCGCCTCCTCCACCCCGCACCCTCTCCTGCCCCGCGGGCTGGGGGGAGGAGGCAGGAGGCACTGTGAGGCTCTGCGGAGCTTGTGCCCAAAGGCCAGCCTCACGTTCGGTGTCGCCGGCATCTTCAGGTGCAGGGCTCAGACTCTCCTGGGGCAGTGGCTCCACGGGAGCCCTGTGAACACACCGGCTCCGCCCGCCCGGGGCCCGCTCATGGGCGGGGCCGTGCTGACAGGACCAGGACGCCCGTGGTGTGCTCTTCTGTCTGCAGCCACCTTCGCTCCGAGGGCTGTTCTTGCGGCTCCCCTCTGAGTGTTTGCGTCTGGGAGTATTTACCGTCCCTACAGCCAACATCCTGCAGAGGAGGGCTCATTCCTGGGGCAGCTGCAGTGCTTCGTCTACAGGAAGCATAGTTTTTGCAGAATCGGTGAAACACCAGTTAATTTCAGTTTATATCGAAGCCGTTTCAGAGAAGAGTCAAATTAAAGCTATTATTTTTAGTCTTGAGTCCTAATTTTTTTGTACTTGGGGACACAAAATTTCAGTCTTAATTTCCTGATGCTTAATTTTATAATGCCACTTTTAGCTTGGGAAAAAACTACATGGTATCAAATGCTTATTTCAGTATATCTGATATAAAATTGTAACTTCATCTTAAAGATCATTTTGATCACTTTTAGAATTTCAGAATGACAAGGTGATTTGGAGTTAGTTTTAATCCTTTTTAAAAATCAGTAGAAAATAGGTTAGTACATAAAGTTAATCATTAAGTCAACTCTTTCCTTATTGTAAATAAATGCGAGGCTGTATCAGTAAGTCCATGTGAGAGGAGACATCACTCGCAGGTAAAAGAACCAGGGAGAGGAGCGCGTGCAGTGAAGGGTGCGTGCGGGTCTCCTGGGGACCTGCCTGTCTCCCTCGGGCTCGCGGGGCCGTTGTGTGAGTTTCCCGTGTGTCACTCAGGCCCCTCAGTCTGGGTTCTGCCTGGTCCGTGGTTCTGCAGCCTGCAGAGCGTCCACGAGCACTTCTTCCGTGAGCCTGTGGCCACAGCCCCTGCCTGTGGCTGATGGGAACGGTCTCCTCCGACCCGTGTGGGAGGGTGTTTCCAGCTGCCGGTGCAGGGCTGACAGACCTGACCCCGCGCGCCCAGGATGCCCGTCAGCGTGGGCCCATGTGCTGGGACGGCTTCCTTCTTTTCCTCCTCTAGGTTTGCTGAGCTCCCCGGGCTGTTATTCTGTGGTTTCATCCAGGTGGAGGTTTTCAGCCGTTTTCATTAAGGTGTTTCTCAGCTCCGCTCTGACTCTTTCCTGGGGGCCATCTGACAGCGTCCCGGGTTCCTCGGCCTGTTCATTTCTCTCCTGTAGTTTCTGTTAACCTGTTTTTATGTTAGTCGGCTCCTTCTGTCGTCTCCCTTCTGCGGGAGCATCCAGTGAATTTCCATGTCAGTTGCTGCACATCCATGTGGACGAGGTCCTCCTGCCCTTTCCCAGTCTGCTCCGTGGCTCTGCTCCGTGGCTCTGCTCCGTGGCTCTGCTCCGTGGCTCTGCTCAGGCTCCTCAAAGGGGCCTCCCTGTCTCCGTGCCTCACTCTTCCTTTCCTGCCTGTGGTCTCCGTCCTCGTTGACTTTGTCTCCCTTGTTGGGGTTCAGACCCTGATGGCAGGAGCCCGGCCTGTTGCACTCACTGTTCTGGTACGGAGTGGAGCCAGCACGAGGACTGCTTGCCGTGTGCTGGGTGCCCTCGTGCGTGGCCCGCGCCCAGCCCAGCGGGCGTTGAGCGCTGATGCGCAGGCGTCTTTCGCTGCTTCATTCTTCTCTTGGGGTCCGCGTCGGAATTGGGTTTTACACTGGGCTTCCACAGAAGTTGCACCCCAGACAGTCATGGCTCTGAAATGTGCCTCTCAGTCCGAGTGTTACGTGGAGCTGTGCTGCTTTTTGGCCACTTTTCTCATTTTGCTTGACATCTGTGTCAGCAGAACTGATTTCCTCACGAGAGCGAAAGTAGCGAGAGATTTGGTTACCAAGGAGCAGCTTCTGAATTGAGTGAGGGTCCCCGTATCGCCTGGCGTGCGCGCAGTCAGCACTGACACAGCTGTTTCATGAAATCTGTTGTTGGCTCTTTCAGGTCGCAAAGGAGTTTGGCTTCCAGAATAATGGCTTCTCAGTTTACATCAATAGAAACAAGACCGGAGAGATAACAGCATCATCCAACAAGTCCCTCAACCTGCTGAAGATCAAGTGGGTACCAGTGAGGAGACGCGGGGGAGGCCCTGGGGGCTGCTTGTCGAGCATTTTCCTCTGGCGCCCAGGTGGCAGGGGCCACAGCGGCCCGCCGACAGCGTGGGCGCCGCAAATGCGTCCTGAGGCGCTTCACTGGCAGTGTCGAGCAGCCCCGGAAGTGCTGGTGAGACAGACTGTGTTTGGGTGGATTTGGCCAAGTGTGGTCACGTGAGAACAGCAAGCGCAGCCCAGCCGTTTGGCTCAGTGGTTGAGCATCGACCTATGGACCAGGACGTCAGGGTTTGATTCTTGGTCAGGGGTGTGCAGGAGGCAGCTGATCGATGATTCTTTCTCATTGATGTCTCTCTCCCTTTCCCTTCCTCTCTGAAATCAATGAAAATATATTTAAAAAAAGAAAAAAGAAAAACAACCTGGGGCCTAGGCAGAAATCTCTGACCAAAAAAAAAAAAAAAAAAAAAGCATGCCTGGCCCGTTTGGCTGAGGGGATAGAGTGTTGACTTGCAACCAAAAGGTCCCGGGTTTGAGTCCAGTCGGGCACATACCTTGGGTGCAGGCTCCTCCCCCTCCTGGGCCCTGGTGGGGGCTCATGCAGGAGGAAACGAATCGATGTGTTTCTCTCACAGATGTTTCTCTCCGTTTTCCCCACTTTGTTCCCTTCTCTCTAAAAAGCAATGGAAAAATATCCTCAGGTGAGGATTTTTTAAAAAATCAAACGCGGACAGTATGTCTGAGACTCGTTTTCATCCAGCAGTGCCGTGTGTGCGTGCCCGCGCCCACGCCCGCGCAGGAACAGGGAGAAAGAAATGGAAGGAGGTGTCCAAAGCAGATAGGGTGGGGGCTGGAGAGGGGGCTAAGGAGCGATGAAGGGAAGTGGGGGCCAAGCAGAGAATGAGATGGCGGGAGAAGCTGCCTGCCCCCCAGTCTGTGTGGTGACTCCAGCTGGCCCTTGACCCACGAGGGTCTGAGCTGCGCAGGTCCACTCCCACACAGATGTTTCCCAGTAAACACACAGTGTTTTCAGTCCGCAGCTGGAGACCGAAGGTCAGAGCCACCGTGTATGAGGGTGGCCCTAACGCCGTGTTCCCGGGTCGGCAGGGTGTCCCTCTGTGTGAGGCTGGAGAGGCAGGTGGACGTGTGTCATCAGCGCTCACATGCAGGTGGCGGGAAAGCACCGCTGCAGAGACCCTGCTGCTGACCTTTATGAGCTGGAAGCAGCGGGGAGACGGGAGGAGAGCCGTCGGGTCTCTGTTGAGAGTGGCCGCCTCGTGTTGAGCTTTCGGCCTGGTCGGCCTGGGCTTTGGCAGAGGTCAGACCCTCACATCCAGGAGGTGTCTGTGCAGCTCAGGTGCCAGAGGAAGATGGCCTGGACTGTTTGTCGTTGAACAGGCATGGCGATTTGTTGTTCCTGTTTCCCTCGAGCCTGGCCGGACCCTCGTCGGAAATGGAGACGTCCGCCACTGTGGCGTTGAAGGCTCTTGGGGCTCCCAACGTGGTGGAAGACGAGATCGACCAGTACCTGAGCCGGCAGGACGGGAAGATCTACCGGAGCCGCGACCCGCAGCTGTGAGTGCCGGCTGGGACTGTTTGTAACGCGTCTGCTGGTCGCGAGGGTCCAGGAGGAACCCAGGTTGACCCTGATGTGCCCAGAGAGACCTGAGTGCTCCGTGCGGAGGGGGGAGGAGGGGTGACGCCTGGGCGCGCGCCTGCAGGGGGCTCATCCCTGCCACCCCGTGTAGTGAGGTAGAGCCGCTCCAGCATCACACGCACGGACTTGCTTCTGTTCTTCAGTGAACACCTTGTTTGCTGAAGACAGTGCCCCTTCGAACGTTCGCTTTTCTCCTGGGACCACATAAATGCCTGTGACGTGTGCTTTCGTTTAGATTTTTCAATTCCTTTTAAGGAAAGCAGTTAGAAACCCCTGCGTCTGCGCTCGGGGAGCAGAGCTGCCTGAGGGAAGGTGCCTGCCTGCAGCGGAGTCTTGCTAACTGCATCCTCCGTGTGTGTGGAGGTGCCAACACCCAGGCTCGGGGGCTCCAGACGCTGCCTTTGCGGCTTGTCGGTCTCGGATCCAAGAGCCCGAGTGGTGCTCTGCTGCTGTCGGCACAGAGCCTCTCCCACGTCCTTCCCTCCTGGCGGCCGCTGCCCGCTCCCCTGTCGGTGCCTTGAGGCTTCATGACCGAGTGTGCATGTGCGGGCTGACCTCTCCTCTAGCCATAGAGCCCGCCTCTTAGAGACCAGCCCGCTGCTCAGAAATGTCGAGCTCACGGCACCTGAGAGCAGGACCCCACTTGGAAAGGGCTCTGACTGAGCCTGGCCGCGTGGCTCAGCGCTCAGCGCCAGCCGGCACCGGTCAGTGGGAAGGAAGGCGCCATTGCAGAACCCTGCTACTGACCTCTCTCAGCTGGAGCGGGGGAGACGGGAAGAGGGTTCTGTCTCTTGGAAGTGGGAACCTCGTGTTTAGCTTTCAGGGCACCCTGCCTGGGGCGTACAGGCCCAAGCAATCGATGTGTCTCTCTCCCTCCCTTCCTTCCGTTTTCTCCGAAAAGGCAATGGGAAATACCCTGGGTAAGGATTTACAAACAAAAAGGATTGTTTGAGCCGGAGGGACCACCGGGCTTTCACCCAGCCCGTCCTCCTCGTGCCGGGTGCCCGTCCTCCTCGTGCCGGGTGCCCGTCCACTGTGGCTTGGCGCGCAGCTCCCAGGTCTCTCTGCCCGAAGTGACTGCACCCGAGCCAGGCATCCCCTACGGGCTTTTCCCAAACTAGAGTTGTTCACCTGCCTCTGTCGGGGTCTGCCGTATCCATGGACCCGTTATAGTATTTGCTTAAGATTTTTATGTATTTAAATGACTTTACACCCATTCCCTGTGATTTTGTTAGAGTCAGAAGCGCCGGGAGGCGGCAGGAGGCAGCGGGCGTGCTAACCACTGTGTTTCTTTTTGCAGGTGCCGCCACGGGCCGCTGGGGAAGTGTGTGCACTGTGTTCCTCTGGAGGTAAGTCTGGAGCGGTTCCTGCTTCCCCGAGCCCTGCACTGCCCTCGGGGCTAGAAGGCCTGTCTCGTTACTGCCCTGGGCCTCCTCGTCCCTCCAGGGCCGGCCGCACAGAGGCGAGCCCTTATTTATGGCGGCGGCCTGGCCTTCGGGGTGCATTGTGGATGGCTCAGCGTTTGTGTTGCTGTGATGAAGGGCTGTGCTTACAGGGCTCCTGAGCCATCCTTTCACCCTGACACACAGCTGCGCCAGGCACTTCTGTGCTCGTCGTCTTTTAGATTTGCTTCGCCCTGAGTCCCACGCCCGCTGATCTGTCTGGTGATAATGCTGACGGCACCGGCTGGGCTGAGTTACGGCAGAGGCAGCCCGTCGCCACGCGGCTTCTCTTTCTTGTTTCATCTTGTGACTTTTTGGGGAAAAATTTTCCCAATCTTATTTGACTTAGGGCATTTTATATTTAATGGAGATCCATTTCCATTTCCATCTTGAAAAGATAGGCACCAAAGAAAAGGTGGGTTCTGACCTAGAGGGGCAGAGAGAGCCAGCCCCAGCCCCCCCTGGCCGGTGGGCCTGGCCCTTTCTGCGCACTGATCGCCCGCGCCAGCCTGCAGCCCCAGCAGGTGGGACCGCGGGTGTGTGACCGCTCTGTATCTCGGCAGCCATTCGACGAGGACTACCTGAACCACCTCGAGCCACCCGTGAAGCACATGTCCTTCCACGCCTACATCCGGAAGCTGACCGGGGGCGCTGACAAGTAAGTGACCTGCAGGCGGCGGCACAGTTTGCTGTGTGTTGGTAGGTGTTGGCTGAAGCCACCGGGCAGATAAGTAAGAAAAGCAAAGATGGGCATCTGGGCCCGACGCACTTGGACTCATGGGTTTGCCTGATTGTAGAAAAGAAACAGGTGGGTGGAAACTGACGCCCAGAGCCTGGAGTGTGGGGCACATGCCAGGCTGACGATGCCACTGTGGAGGCCCCCAGGGACTTCCCAAACTTTCCTGGTAGGCAGTGCCCTGGCCACTTGGTGCTGAAGGTGGATGAGATGAGGCGTGATGGTGGCCAGTTGTGGCTGGCGTCTGAGTTTTGCTCTGCTTTTTGGGAAAACAGAACCACCCCGTGGTCACGTCGGACCGCCTCCGTCAGCCCCCCGCCCGGAGCCTGGTGTGTAGCAGCCCTGTGGGTCTGGAGCAGTGGTGCTGGCACGGGCTGGCCGTGTCTGCAGGGTCAGCCAGGTGGGCACGGGCGGCGGCAGCAGGCAGCTCTTCCCGTGAGTGCAGGCCGTGATGGTGGCTGGAGACAGACCATTTTGATGTCTTTTCAACCATGTCGAGTCCTTGCCTGTGTGAGCCTCCTGTCGACCACGTCCTGCTGTGATTTCTCACTCCCGCCCGAGTCAGCAGATCGTGGGGCCTGATTGTCGTTTTGCTCTAACAGCCGCTGACATCCTAAAATGACTTTTAAAAATGTTTGGCCGGGAGAAAAACTCCCACCAGACACCCATTCTTGCCTGTCAGTGGGATAAGCTATGGAAGTTGATGGACCAGGGGCATGAATTTGCCAGCCTTTCTTCCGTCTGGGTCCAGGACCGTGGGATCCGGGGGCACATTTGTACCTGTCACCAACCTGCGACCGCGGAGCACTCCACACGCCCTCCGAGCAGAGGCCGGGGGCCTGTGAGATGAGGCCGAGTGTTCGGCCGTTTTGTGGGCAGGACACGGGCAGAGGGCTCGCCCCATGTCCTGACAGGGCCGTGGCTTCCTCGCTGGCAGGCTTGTCGCCACAGTTTTTGTTTTGGACAAAAGCAGAGGGAAGATGCCTTTGTTGTGTGTCCTAATCAGTTTTTCCTGAGAAAAAGCAATTTTTATAAACCTCTAGGAACGTGTCTCACAGCGTGAATGTCGCTGATAAATTAATGAAACTTAAAAAGCACTGCATTTCCCTTCAGGGATAAGGGTTAGATCAA